ATAAAAGTAACAATGCCGATGAAATACATGCAAAGAGGAAGGAAAGGGAGGCATTCCACCAGGTTTGCTGTCCTGCCCGGCGGCCTGCTACGTCGTCGTTTCGTCATCGTCTTTACGAAGATGGGATACTCCGGTCACTACTGCCGACCAGATGGTCCACCAAAACCCAAGAAATCGAAAAAATTTTTTGGCTGGAAGTCCGTCCATAAGGGTAATCGATGGTCCTGATTACGATTTTGACACTTATTTTCGAGGTCGGTCGAGCCAAGTATGGCGCCAGTATAGCGCTTATCGTACTCGTATATGGGTACATAACGTAAATTTCCACTCCTTTTTTGGCAGCTCGGGAGCCGCACAGTCAAACCGAAGCCACACTTTCGGTCATGGCAGGTCCTACAAAGTGCCATTAAAGCGTTTTGAAAAAGCGGGGCACGCCCTGAAGACCTTCCTGGTGTTAGAGGGATGAGTGACATGAATGATTGCTTAAACTGAAGATGAGTCACTGCCACTTCTCCTAACAAATTCTTGGTTATAACTGTAGAAGCACGCCTTCAGCAAGTACCGAATCAAGGCGATTCAAGTACAATATTTAGGGCTAATCCGCTATTACGACTCCAGAAAGTTTTTTTTTCACTGAATCCTATAGAAATTATTCGATGCTCTGACGTACTTGGCCCTGGCGCCATTTGGGGCCAATTTGACGCCACAGCGTTTCCCACCAAGAAATGTATAAGTTTGCGTACTAGGGTTACTTGACATCTTGATCACAAATATGACATTCATTACAGCATGCTGAGCATGGGAGTCATGACTACAGGTGGGACTCAAACCCGCACCTTATTTTTCGAACAGCGCGCTATCCGTACGCCACCACCCTCAGCTCTTCTCTCAACCCTCAGCTTGACGACTTTTATGCCATAGCTTTCACTCACAAGTTCCACAGGTTTGGGAGGCATGACGTTCATTCGCGGCGCCGGCGCTGCTATAGGCACTCTGAGCACTTGCGCTCTGGTAAGGCTGAGCCGGCGGGGAAGGATGCCACACCTCCTCCCAGGTCCAGTCAACAAGCACTAAACTGCGCACGAAATGAATGCGAATTCGTGATCAGGACATCGAGTAACCCTGTCACGCAAGTTTTCATCGATTTTTGTGAGGAAGTGGTGGCGTCAAATGGCGCCAGCGACACTAACGAATGCCATATTCGTGATCAGGGCATCGAATAACCTCTACAGGCGAAGTTTCAGCGAAAAAATTTTTTTTCAATTTTTTTTTATGAGTTTCGAAGAAGCAATAGTGGGATAGTGCCAATATTTAATCAACAATGACTTGAAAAAAGGGCAGATATTAAGTCGCCTCAAAATGCCATAGTTTTTTTTTCATAGGTTTCCCACGTACTCCCAAGATGTCGAAGACATTTTAGAATGCAAATCCACACGATGCTCATACGTACCAAGGATGTATCAACGGGTGGTGGTGCAGGCTGCTGTGGTTCGCATGGTTCAGAGGCTTTACCACGCATCCAAGCTCTGCATAACTGATACATCGAATCAGTATGTCCATCACGTAGACCAAATGGTTTTCCGCGTAATTCAAACACAACTTCTGCAAAAGAAGAACTATTTATGAGCAAATATAAGCTGGCAAGCACCAGAAGCACACGGTTTCGTTAAATCATATCCATGAAAAGTTACTGGAACTATTATAACCTACGAAGTATTCCGCGGTAGCCAGTAAAAGGGTCCGAGAAAGACTATGGTTAAATTATATTTCACCCATCGGTAATTTTCTGAATTGGTTCTGAGCACTGGAGTAGAATGCAAAAATGAGAGGTGAAGAGACGCTGTGAGCGCAGCCAAGGGGTCAGATACAAAGAAAAGTAAGAAGAAATACAAAAAAATGTATGAGAAAATAAAAATATGAGGGGGCACCAGCTGGAAGTGCCATTAAGGTATCAAAGCAGAGGCTCTCTGCGTAGGTCCATCGATTACTGGGTGGAATAGCCCTGAAAAATGAGGGCCGGTGGTCCGCGAGGCTCTTATTCAAGCAGCAAGAGTGATATCACTTCTGCGATTAAGGACCGGACTATCTTGTGCAAGAAAAGAGTTAAGCGAAGGTCTACATGAACTGGTTCTTTGAAAAAGGCCATCAATTGTTTCCTAACGTTCAGGAAAAACAGAAAAATTTATCAAGAACCCACGTTTGTCCTTGCTCTGGACTTTCCTTGGACGGCCTGGTCCTCTTCTTAGCTCGACTGTCTCCACTCTAGAATGATCATCAGTCCATAAACACAGCCTCGAGTCAATATTACGGCTAAGGAATGGCGCCCTAAGTAGTGCAATGAGCCGTAAAAGAAGAAGATACTCACGTTGGTTTCCTGTCCATCGGATTCAGCCACGGTGCTTCGCCTTGTCGTATAGACGTTAGCAAGTTCCCAAGACGATCTCGTGCAAATTTCATGTCTGGAGATTCATGCGGAACCATTGAGTCTTCCGCAATCCGAGCACTACAATCGTTCACTATCACGTACTATGGTTATTTGTCATTACCGACGCACCTGATCTGACACTATGAATTGACTCACATATAACATAAAATTCTACAGAAGTGGGTCATATTCTTCGATGTATCCAAATACAATGAACTTACAAGGGATTCACGATTACTTCTCCGGATTCCTCCACCCACAATGACAACTGACGGGGTCAGTAGGTTTGTAAGGTATTAATAGTTCGAACCTTTACGGGGTCGCACACCAACCAACAAACCGCTTTCCTTTCGTCCCCTGTACAATTCATTCATTATTAATCGCATTTAAATGAAGTGTTCTACGCAGATACGCACTGATGAATGATCAAAGAGAAGACGGGGAAAGGCCACCATTGTTTGGGGTGCTTGACTGCCTCACAAAGAGGCTGCGATGTACCTTCTAGAAGTCTGCGCACAGCAACAAAGCCACATTTCATCTTGCAGTGCAGAATTAGGAATGGCTCGTTAATTATGAAGCATGTCTGACATATTAAACAGAAGTGCAGTGCGTAGCTGAATCCAGCGAGCCTGGTTCTACGGAATGATTTCTTTCTTTCGAATTTCTGCAAAGCTCACAGAGGATACACTTGGTGTTCATGCTTCTGTACAGCTTTGCGTTTCCACACATTGGCAATCAGTGGGTGATTGCTTTGTGCGCTTCAGTTTAACGGTGTTGGACTTCAGTAGATTAATTTGCGTTATGAGCTAACGCTCTCTATCTCATGCGCCTAAAGCAGTGTTATTTCCGTTTTCTTCGTGAATTTTCTATATTTCAGAATGCTGTACTCTGTACTACATATTCGTGGCTGGCTGTTGGTGCTAGCTCGATTTGCTTTCTCGTCTGCTATAGCCACTGGGAGCATTGTCTGGGCTTTACTCTGTAGCGCGGAGTGTCTCTTCAAAAAAGAGACTGAATGCTAGGAAGACGATGTTTTTGAAGTTTTGTCGTCGTTTGCTGTACTTTGTTGTCTGTGATTGTTTCCATAACGTATGACTGTCTTAATAAATGTCAAGAGGTCTTCGGCAGTTGTTCATTACAGCGGTTCATGATCCCTGCAAAATCGTTATCGCTATCACGGAGAAGAACTTTTGTTAAAAATTGACGTGCATTGCAGTTATGTCCATACGAGGTTGTAGTGCTTGTAGTACGCAAATAATGTTTCAGTGATGGAGCCGGATCTAGGACCAATGCCACAGGCGGTTGAAGATTTTTGTCATACCCAGACGAATCATCCTTGTTGGGACCTTGTGAAGGAGTTCAGATTGAGCCATCAAGTGAATTTGTAACGCCTTTGTCTCCAACGAAACGATTTGGGTATGTCCTTAGAGTTCCTTAGTGAGAAAACAGTCATCCAAAATGAAAGCCTATCAAAATTCTTTGGGCGGAAGATTTTT